TTTTTTTTTTTTTTAAATTCCCAGTCTTGATTACAGCCCTGGTATTTTCCAGTGGTCTCCCATCCAAGAACTAACCAGGTCTGACCCTGCTTAGCATGAAGGAGATAATGGCATTAGCTAGGCTAAGCAGATCAATTTGATGTTAAAGGGTAGATTAATGGAACGAAGGAGTGGTGGTAGCATTATTCAAATATGTGTAAGAAGGCCTCTCTGCTGAAGGATAAACTGCTCAGGATTGGGATCCCCTACCACTGTGTTCTTTGGTGGGCTGGCAGTGGGTAGCCCAGGTTTTGGAGGCGTGTCTCCACTTAATTGCAAGTTGACCCTTGGTATGTCTGGGTCTGGTTTGTATAAGATGGGAGATAGTGGATCCAGATGTTTGACTAGTGGTGGGTCAAGCCACAGGAAGATTGGGGGTTACTTGGTCTCCAGGGCAATGCTGGGGACTCCCAATAGTTGATTGGCTATGGGTTGACCTTGGAATCAGAAGGAGAGATTTTCAAGGATGATGCAATGTGTCTATGGCATGCCGTACACCAGTTCCCCTTGGAATTCCAGTTCCTACCTGATCACGTTTTTGATCTTAAGATCGTAACATCTACAATATCCAGGCAAAATTTTGTCTAGAAAATATGCATCTTAAGTACAGACACTGAAGGTTTCAAATCTTTGGCAGGAAGGGGAGATGGATGTAGAAGCAGTGGCAGCTTGTGGCTCTGAGTCCCTCATTCTTTTATATCTGGTGGCCATGTTGTAAAGCACAATTCTGGAAAATGATTCATACCAGAACAAAACAAAATTTAAAAGCTGAATTACCATTTCAACATGCAATATTTGTATTAAATTTAAACAGGGAGACTGTGTTTTCTGGTCCTGCCTTAGACATGAAGCCAACTGGGTGACTCTGGGTCAGCCATGTTCTCTCAGCCCTAGGAGAAAGGCAAGGGCAAACAAGTTATGAAAATGTTGCCAAGAAAGCTGCAGGGACTAGTCCAGGCAGAAACCAGGAATCAAGACTGACTCAAAGGCACAAAAAATAAAATAAAACAAAACAAATCTCTTAAAGTATACTGAATTAGCTTTCTACATGCTAACTGCTGCAAAGAGATTATATACTTTTTTTACTGGAAAAGTTATTTGATCCCCACATTGGAAAAATGGCTAGCCAAGTTGTGGGGGTGTATTTTGGTGTCTAGAGTAACTTCATATCTTAAAAGTAAATCTGATAAAGAATTTAATTGAAATTGGAAACCATTCCAGTTAACATATGGACTTGCACCACACAGAGCCCAAATTTAGTTTCTTTATGCTTAGAGTCTATACTTCAATTTTACAGGATTTTCAAATCAGAATAGACTTTTAGTAATATGGGCAGAATTTATGTAGCTTCCAATCTCACTCAGTGATTTATACCATTTTGATCATGGTTACTGATATTCATGCTTTAATGTTTAATACTGATTTTTTTTAGTCTTTTGTAATGATACAATACATTCAGTTACTCATAATTAACTAATGATATATTGGAAAACTAAACCCTCCATTACATTTGTAAATCCCTTATGTATTCATTTGTATTTTATTCATTTACTCCTTTTTCCTGTTTGTTGATATAGGATTTTTATATTGCATAATCACTAATGCACTTTGTTGTTGTTATAGTTATTTGTTATATCTCATCAATAACTGTTTAAAATTTATTATCCTCCATTCCACTTGTCTGCACTGACTCCAAAACGCCTCCAACCGCCTCCTGGTGCTGCCAAGAACTCCTCTTACCTATAGAATCCTGACCCTCCCTGCCCTATGGAAACATCCTAGAGTAATCAGGTTGCAGTCTTAGTAGACAGACTTGCCTCCTAGCTGGGATTCAGCCAGAACACTTTTCTAGCCTCTCCTGCTCCCTGGACAAGTTCTTGACACTTTAATTTCTCACTTCTGTAACTGGTGAGGTTATAGCCAATCACATCACCAGGATGTTAATTAACTTTATAAATATGCCCACCTGAGCTGGAAAAAAAATATGCAAAGCATTCCCCTAGGGATGGAAGGGGACTTGTGACTTACCCAAATGTGTCTGGTAGGGGAGCTAACTTCTGGATATATCCTCAATATACTGAGCTTTTCAAATGACATCTATTCTGACAACTCATAACACTGAGTTTTACACTCTTATCTGAGTTCTCTTCCCAGATCTGGGGATGGTACAGATTCAACAAGGCTTATACAACATTTCCACATTTCAGCTGAATTGGAGATGGCTGTTATCATTGCCACTGAAAATTCCTTTTGGTTCATGTGGTTTTGCAAAATCATAAATCTTTAGATCTGTTCACTGCCACCCAAGGGGGAAGCTTGCACCCTGCTGGAAAACACATGCCATTTTTATGTCAACAATATTGAACTGAAGGCTCCAATCATTACGATGTCATATCAGAAAGCAAATAACACCAGTTCCTGAGACCAGACTTGGTTAACTTCCAAAACTACTTATTTTGGCACATGGGGAACACAATTCTTACAGGGAGCCCTAATAGTTATTCTTGTACTACTTAGTAAGTATTTAGGTATTCAAATTGTGGGTGGGCATTGTGGGTGGGTAAGATGCTGTAAGGAAACAAGCATGGGATTTCAAAGCAAGAGTTTGTGGTTTTAAAATGAGCGAACAAGAAATCAAATTACTTTCATGAGTGGAGCTTCTGGACAGGCAGAGCACTCCAAAGCTCTAAAGAAGGGAATGAAGGAGAAAGTGGCATTAGCTAGGCTAAGTAGATTATTCCTCTTACCTTTCCTGGGCTCCTTAGAGAAGCAATAAAAATACCAGTTCAGCTCTAAAAATGCTTAGAAGGCAAAGGAATGTTGATAACAAGAAGGGATACCTAAAGGTGAGGAAAGCTATGGGAAGCAAGGCCAAGGGAGATAACACATGAAATAGTAACATTTATTCTAAAACACATAGCCTTTGTTTTATCAATACACCATCGACTTTGTAGTTTTTATCATCTCAGTACCTCTGACCTTATGGATTACATGTATAGTTTGACTTGTACAGACCTATATAAGGGGGTCACAAACCCATCCCTTTTTAAGTTAGTTGTTGTAACATCCAGTACTGAAATAAACACAATTTGTGATCCAGTTGATGGGTATTTTGGTCCCTGTTATTAAGCAAACTATAAAAGAGTCAATTCTCCTACAAATATTTTTGAGATCACCTAGGTGCTGTAGTAGTCCTTATTTAAGTTAGTACAATACTACACATTACAGCAGCAATATACACATACCATGATGGCATGGTTCTTTTCCTCATACTTTCATATGACACTAGCTTAACTCTGAAGTCCATCACATACAGGCTGCTGTTCCTCCTCAGGATTTGATCTTTTCTTTTTGTTAGTTATCTAGTCCATTGATGCTACCTGGCCTAACATGTATTTACTTGTCAGAACATTAATATCAAGCTGACATGTATCCACTCTGCAAGTTATGAAGTTGGGTGGAATACAGGCAGGGAAAACAAAACAATATCCAATATGACAGTACCATGTTCATATTCCTGCTGTCACTGAGCAATGTTTTCTAGACTGCTTCAAATTCAGATGAAACCAAATGTTGAGAAATGCACAGTGCTTCCTGCTCTTGCCCTCATCCTTTCCTGAGCCAATGATGGGGAACACATGAAGGGATACAATAGCTAGGATTATACCACCTGACATTCCTCCCATGGATTACATTGTTTAATATCCTTTAGGTAACTTTTCTGGGGCAGACTCTTGTTTGGCTGAATGTCAAGAGACGACAACCTCAGTGTAGGACAAAATTGATACCTGTTGTAAAAACTGTTTACTACCAATTTTGGTACTCTCATGTTCATATTGTGATCCTACCTGCAGATGGCTGGAAAGCACTCCTGCAGTCCCTTCTTCTTGACTAACGAGCCTTCAAGACAGTACATGATGATGTCCATTACCTATGGATAACAACAATGAATTATTGTTGAAAATAATTAAATCTTTATAACAGTATTCTGCAATCTTACTTTGAGGAGCCATAATAAAACATAGGAAAGAAAACTCCAACTATAATTATTTATTATATATATAGCAGGAACGCTGCTACAACAGTAGTAACATTAGAATTCAAATATAATTTGAAAACTCTTCAAATCATTTTCAGGAGGTTGTTTTAGAACTGTTGCAGAAGCTATCATTCTGAATCCCAATGGAAAGTGCTTTCCAGTGGCAGACAAAGTGAAGAAGCTTAACATACCATACCCAATGCATTATTCTAATCACATGCAACAAAATTCATATATCAAAGACTTTCAAGCAGCCTCTGAATTACAAGACTTAAAACATGCAACAGCCAGGATGTAGGAATTCAGCTGTTACATGCAAAAAGAATGCAAATGTGTTAATGCTGGGATACAAATAGCTTCCATGGATTAAACATAGCATGCATATGAAGAAAATATATACTTGTGATTAGTAACAATGTCAACTGCCTTATGCTAAGTTTGCGTCTAGCACAAGTATTATCTATGCTAATTATTAGCAGCTTTCTGAGTTTCAGATATAATTTTCAGCGGTAGAGAAACCTGAATTGATAGGTATTCTGCATGCAAAGCAATGCTTTAAATTAAATTAGCCGTGAATATTGTTTTATACAGCATCTAAAAGTATAACCTTCTCTCGGTCACTCATGCCCTGGTCATCTCTCACATGGACTCTTGCAATGCGCTCCACATGGGGCTACCATTGAAAAGTATCTGGAAGCTGTAGTTGGTACAAAATGTGGCAGTGTGGGCAGTTATGGGCGCCTCTAGGGCTGTGCATGTAACACCTCTGCTGCATGAGCTGCACTGGGTGCCAGTTTGCTTCCAGGTCCAATTCAAGGTGTTGGTTATGACTTTTAAAGCCCTTGATGGCATGGGGCCAGATTACCTGAGGAACCATCTCATCCCTGTTACATCAACCCATCCCACCTGGTCTGGCAGGAAAGGCATGATGTGGACCCATCAGTTAGAGAATTTAGACTGGCAGGGTCTAGGAGGAGAGACTTTCCTGTCATCACCCCCGCCCTGTGGAGTATCTTGCCCCCAGAGGTGAGGTTGGCCCCCACTCTTCTGGTCTTCCAGAAGAGCCTTAAGATCTGGCTCTGCTGACTAACTTGGGGATCCAGTGGGGGCTCCAACATTGGAGGTGGCTGGCACCTTGAGGATGCTCCATCTTTTAACTTTGTCTGTGGTCTTTTAATATATTTTGTAGTTTCTAAATGTTTTTACGTTTTTACCTGTGAGCCACCTAGAGTCACCGATAGTGAGATGGGTGGCATATAAATTGATTGACTGATTGATTGATTAATTAATTAATTTAGATTACAGTAGCTGATTCCCTGCTTAGTGCAAGATTCCAAGTGAAAAGATTCCCAACCGATGGCTGTCCAATCTCTCCTTGGACAGCTTCAGTGAAGGGGAGTAACTTTCTGGTAATTGGCCCATTGTCAAATCTGTTCTTCCTTTTAGAAAGCTTTTCTTATCATTCAGCCTGAATCCAACTTCCTGTAAATTAACAAGCCTTCAGGTTCTTGAAGAGTGATAGCATATCCCCACTCAGTTGTCTTTTCTCAAGCTAAACATACTCCGTTCCCTCAAGTCTCTTGTCATAAGGCTTAGTTTCCAGGATTCATATCATCCGTGTCCTTTTCTGAATCTGTTCCAGTTTGTCTGAATCTTTCTCAGAATATGATGCCCAGAACATATATAGTATTCAAAGTGGGGACTGACCAATGCAGAATACAACTTCCTATGATTTGAAAATTATTTCTATTGTGCAGTTAGAATTGCCTTTGCCTTGTGAGCAACCATGTCACACTGTAGACTCAGAGTCAGCTTGTGATCAACTATACTCTTTTCTCACATACTGCTATCAAGCTAGGTTTCCCCTTTCCTATTAACATGTATTTGGTTTATTTTTCCCAGATGATGGACTTTGCAGTTGTCTCTATCAAATTTCATTCTGTTGTTTTTAGTCTTCTTCTCTAACCTAGAAACATCATTGTATAGGTAGCTACCCAATCCAATTTTGTGCCATCACCTAAGAATTCCAGTTTTTGCACAAGCATTCTGGTATTTCAAATCTCTAGATAGGGAAATGTTGAGTTAACTGTCTCCCCCAGTAAGCTGTTTGAGCAAGACTTACACCTCAGGGTAAACTGACTAGATCAGTTACCTGGGCTAGGATATTTACAGGAGACTCTAACTTACTTCCCCCAACCCAGTTAAATGTGCTTGGGAATACCAGCTCTGAGAATAGTTTTACACCCACCTATTAGATATCACCTCACTTAACTAAGTTGATCAGAATGCTTTGTGGCACTTTGTCAAATGCTCTGCTGAAATCAAGATATATTCTATCTGCAGCATTCCCACAATCTATTAAGAAAATGATTCAATCAACTGTTTTAAAAATAAGATTAGTCTGACAAGACTTGCTCATACAAATTAATGCTGACCTTTTGTGATTACTTAAATCATTTAATGTCTTTGAAATGATTTGCAATGACTGTGATCTGTCGTACCAACAGGTAGGCCAATGAAAAGGCACTTATCTTCTTCCATATGGGATAACCTCAAACATAAACACCAACTGTTATTAACATAGAAGCGTAATAAAATATTGATATACCTCTACAAGGAGATCCACAACATCTGTTGGCATCTTTTCAATAAGGATTTCAATCACCCTCAGAATTTCTCCTTTGGCTCGAGCCAAGGTGGTGGTATGAACATTTTGTTGAGACTGTGTATTGGCCTGAAGAGCAGTGTGCCTGTGTACCTACAAAAACAAGAGGAATGAGGAGTGCTTGCAAATATTTTCTATTAAAATTTCATGGGTTCGCAATCACGAGCAGAACTGATGACGAGTTAAGGCTCTATTTGTTACTCTATTTTTGGTATGTGTACATAGGCCAGTTGTGTGTATACATAGTCCAGTCTGTTAACCTTACAAAGTTTTCAGTGCCACAACCATACTTCTTAATAAGTTACCAGTGCACATGAGCCTAAATATATATTCATTTAACACAATGCAGATTATTGTTCCACATGATTTAACTAGAACATATATGTGCTCAGGAGTACTGGTAATGAATGTTAGTGTGAATGCAATCTAAAAATTGTGGCAAATGGTGCATTCACCAATCACCAATTTTATTTTACACTTTTAGTGAAACCTAGAAATACTAACAGTAGTTAATTCATATATTGAACTATTCCCAATGGATTTTTGGATTATTTCTATCAATTAATTCACAATAATTTGTGAAAGTTTAAGGACTTTTTTTTTTTTTTTTAAAGGAAGCTCTAATTTACAATACATACTCTCAAAGGATTTTTACACAACTAACAATCTGTATTCTGCATAAGCTAATTGGGCAAATGGGCTTATTCTAGGAACATTATAGTCAATTAGGTCAAAATTATACTGTCACTGTAGATTAGGAAATACTCTGTGTGTGTTAGTATCCTCTTCAACACAGTTAGCTAGGTTAAGTCTTCCAATTGACACCTTTTTATATTTGTACGGACATGGGGTAATTACCTACATTTACCTGGTACATCTAACCGCCCAGAGTCACCCCACAGTGAGATGGGTGGTGACAAATTTGAAACATAAATATTACAAAAAATGAATAAAATGTTTCGTATAAAAGCAGGGAAGAACAAAGATGCTAGAGCTATATATTAATATATATATATATTGTTATTGTCTTGAGTATAGGGAAGCAGACTAGTTTGATTCTCCATTGCTGCCCATTTACTTAGTCTTAAGAACATCAGTAAGCGGTATTGGGAATCCATCTTGCTTCCTAGCTGCATAACACCATCCTAGATTTGGTGCTTAGTTAAACTACAAAGTGACAAAATAAATATTACATAAACATATGGCAGTATCCCATTTCCATATATAGTTGACAATCTGTTGACAATCTAGAGCCCAAGAGACTCTAATAAACATGTACATACAATCTGTTTTGTAGATATAAAGCCTGACTGAAGCATTGTTTCTCCCTTCTTTCCTACTTCAAAAATTGCATATGTTGTGTATAGGCATTGCAACTGTGAGACATTCACATATAAAACCTCTTGTATGCATTCTGTATGCATAGATGCAAATTCAGATATATATGAAATAAAGCCATTTTTAAATGAAGGAAAAAAGTAAATAGATTCTCAAATGTTTTTTGTTGCTAAACAATGAAGGTGCTGTTCCTTCTGAACCAACATGTGCAAAGATCTTCTGCTTACCTCCTTGGCAATAGTAGTGATGAAAGCGGGTGGTCTGGCCGTGGCAATGAGGGAGAGAGCGTGTCGTGCAGAGCGGGCGGAGTCCGCTGCTGGACTCAGAGGCAGCCCCATTTTGATGCTAATCAGAGATCAGACAAAGAAGGAAGGGTAGGGGGAGGAAGAAAAGAAGCATTAGAAATATAGACTGAAAAGATTAGACACAGCTTATAATGTCAGTTCAAGGTCAACGGGAGCACTCAAACAGTTAGAATATAATGGACTTCCAACAATGAGCAGTGATTAGAAGTCAGGGTGTTCTAGCAACTAATACAAAATCAAATAATTAACCGTGAAGATTGAAAACAGTATGTGCATCTGTCCAAAGTGTTAAAAAGGCCTTGTTAACAAATTATCTAGCTGTAGTACTGAATACATATCAAGAACCAAGATCAACACAAATATATACTGCCATGCAAACACACACACACACACACATTTTATATCTCAGCTAAAGTTTAAGACATAATATGTACATAACCCTGCCACTGTTACTATTCCAGTTAACCAACTACATTTTTGGGATAGCTGACACTGGAAATACTGATTTCAATATGGGCACACTGTGTTAAGTCATCTTTAAGTATAGTTATTCTAAAAAAAGGGTGCCCTTCATAGCAAATCCAGTCCTTAGATCTGATATCACTTATAGTGCATTGCCAGGACGAATAAAATCATAAGACAGAATAACTGCTTATTTCTCACATATCCAATTACTTTTCTCTTACATATTAGGAATCAGGAAGCAGAAAATGTGCTATTCTGATCAAATTCAAACACTTCAGATAGTAACTGATCAGAACTGTTATTCTATTGGCTGTGCAGTCTTTAGCACTGCATTTGACCATGTGAATGACTTCATGCAGGTCCTTCTAAGTGGGTGCAACAGCTTGGGGAGCCAAATTTCTAGAAGCTGTTGATGTCCTCCCAAAAGCACACTTGCAGCTTAAAGCTAGGCAGGGTAAGCATAAACAGCATTAAAAATAAAAATGTCAAAAATTGATGGTTATAAGGTACCTTGAAAATTATAGTAAGTGATTCTTTCCAGCATTCAGGTGATGACCACAATTAGACAGCTTCTAGTTTATTTCCAGTTAAAAAATCTACGTGGATATATGCTTCAAAGTAGTATTTGGCTATATAATTATTAGAAGATATTGTACAATTAACTAAGATTTGGGAATATAGGAGTACAATATATGCATAGACGTGTATTTCCTCCTTCCATTACATCCACTGATTTCCTCCTCAATGTCCTGTAGTGATATCCATATTGAGGAAATGACAGTTTGGTCTAAATAAGGAACAAGGGAAGGAGGCAGAATGTGCATGACTTCAACAAAAGCATCATCAAACCTTGACCCCAACCATGAGAGGCTATTCTGTATGGGACCAAATTTCTGCCAACTTCCCATTCCATCTGTAGCTCCCTATGGCATATCCGACACCATTCCTGAGGTTTCATTGACACATAGGAACAGTAGTTGGGAGGAGGGGGCAAGCTACAGATTGTGGTAGAGAAGAAAGGGCAAGAAAGCCACCATTCCTTGACAGCAGTGCTCTTGTAGTTATTAGGATGTGAGTCAAGCTATGCAAAGGGAGAACTCACATTTACTCATTAAAGGTGTAAGCAATCTTCTTCTACTTGCACAGAAGCCAGAGTGAGAGCACACTCCTAAACACATACATAAAGACTCTAGTTCTCCCTACATTGGGATCACTGACCTGAGTGTAGGTGTAAACCCACCCTCCCAGTCTCCAGTGAGTTTGATTAAGATACTCTTTTTCTTTTACTATTTGCTTTTTCAAAGAATGGTCTGTTCCCCTCCACACCGGAGGCCTGAGAGTTGATCAGCTGAGCAGGAGGAGGAACAGCCGCAATGCACACATATCATGAGTTAGGGTCACATCTGAACTATGGATTATCCACTAGGGACTTTCAGTGCCAATTAGCATAATCCAGCATATAATGATTGTTAGAGAACTCTGATCCTGGGAACATTATCTGTTGGTGGAAGGAACCTCATATGTGAGTCATATTTTTTTTAAAAAGATTGAACTAAGACTTAAGAAAAGGGAAACATAAATTTGAGTGAAGGATTTTTCACGAATGAGAATAATAGATGTTGTTTCTTTTTTCCTTGGATTTTTCAGAATTTCAGATGATCATCGCTGACTTATTTGTGAGTAATACCTACAGGTAGTCCTCATTTACTGACCATTCATTCAGCGACTGTTCAAAGTTATGATGGCCCTGAATAAGGAGACTTACGACTGGTCCTCAAAGTTGTGGCCATTGCAGTGTCCCTGCAGTTATGTGATTGTGATTCAGGTGCTTGGCAGTTGGCGTGCATTTATGATGATCACAGTGTCCCGCTGTCATGTGACTGCCACATGCAACCTTCACAGCGGCTTTCGACAAGCAAAGTCAATGGGGAAGCCAGCAAAAAGTTGCAAGTCAGTCACATGACGTCGCACTTAACGGCCTGTGGTGATTTGCTTCATGACCACAGCTGGAACTGACAAACTGCCATCATAAGTTGGGCGCATTCACATTTTTCACTTTATAGCCATGCTGCTTAGTGATGGAGCTGCTGGTCCCAATTGCAGTTGACAAGTGAGGGCTACCTATATTTGGTTTTACAAAGTTTACTGTCAACAAAATGTGCAAAGCATCAGTTTGTCCAATCAGTTAACAGTTTAAATAGGACTGGTAACTATTAAACATAAAGCATCTGTCTTTTAACTGGTTCACTGCTGTTTTGTATAAACAGTTGATTTTTAATGGATTAATTGATTTTAATTATTTATGGGGTATTTTTAATTGTTTATGGGTTTTTGATTTTAACTGTAAGCTGCCTAGAGTTACCCGTTGGGGGAGATGGGCGGCATACAAATTTAATAATTAAATAAACAAACAAACAAATAAATAAACATGCATGTTACAAAAACTTTAAAATACTAATCTTTCTGAGGCAGTAAAGTATCAAACAAATGGCAAACTGAATTAAAAATGCCACTTATTGTTTTAAGGGAAAGACATATTTCATGTTTTAAAACTGTGTACAACCAGAATCAAAATGATCTCAAAACTTTCAGCATACTGATTATAATTTGGCCTTGTAAATTTATCAATTTAAATTTTACTGAATCCATTAATTATTATTCCCAATAAGAGACACAGTATAACTTTTAATGTCTAAAGCTGCACGCAATTTTTAAATTTCCTTTCAAAATCTGAGTCTATCTGAATCTTTCTTCATCATTTTCCTCCATCAATATGATGAGCTTTGTAATGTTTTATAAGGACAAACTTTGAGGGGCAGAGTAGAGGTGGGTGGATGTTGGGCAGAAACACCAGAAAGAAGCAAATAATTTAAAATACAGTTTCCTTAATATATTTCTCTTATGTTTTATGACTTTCAGAACTAAAAAATATCAGAATGTGTTTTTTTTTTTCTATCCTCCCCCTTCCTGATGGGAAGGCATGGATTTTTCTGAAAGCAACAGGCTCCTTATTAATTCATTAATGACACTCTCTAGTGTTAGTATGTGGCCAGAGATTAGCCCCCTCCTGTAGCTGAGCCAGCTGGTCTATCAGAGCAAGAACTGCGCATGAAGGAGCAGGCACACTGCACTGAGACCGAGGGCCAAATTAGAAGCAGATGCAAAGCTAATATGAACAAGGGGGTGCTGAGTTGGTCCCTACAGTTGTATTTTTGTTGAGGGATTTTACTCCTCTCCATGGTCAATACAAAGAGGGCCTTCCACACGCTCAAGATTTCTGTTATGCAAGAAACCTGCTGATGGTAAAGTAATAAATATCACTGTAGCTTGTATGTATGGATTCGGGGAATGATCATGGAGACAATAGTAGAGCATCTGCTGTGCTTAGAGAGAACTCAGTGCTGTCAAAGGGATCAGAGAGCAGCTGAGAAAGAAAAAAAGCAAAAAACAAAAAGCAAAACCAAACCAAACCCCAAACCAGAAGAATCAGAAGAGAGGACTGTGGGCTGGAGGTGCAAATAAATTGACCTGGGACAGGACAGTTTTCTTACATTCACACGATATCACTGTTATATTGTGTTACCAACTGGGACAGTTACTCCCAACTGTCAACTACACTGGAGAATACATCACTGTAGTTACTTCTGCTATTTACAGGATAACATGATAGCAAAAATTACATGATGACATTATTAAATAAGTGATATGATGTAAAATATGTAATCTGCATCATGATGCCATCATGCAATAACATAAAGGAACACGGATGTTTTGTCTGTTCAATTCAAAGTCTGGTAAATTAAGGTTTCAGTGTGAGTCTATTTTCAGTTATATGAATGTTATTTTCCAAAATATTCTGTAGCAATCCCAAATATACTATCTGAATGCAATATTTATTGATAAGGGAGGGTTCAGATATTCTTAGGAATTTTCACCTTTATTTTTTATAATTTTATTTTGCTAAACTAAGTAAGAAAACAAAGACATAAGTATAATCATCCTAATAATATGGAGGGAGAAACAAAGGCCCTGGAAAAAGAGATTATAAACAGAATGACTTCTTTGGTCACATTCCCTTCCATTCAAATGTTGGCAAAATCCTCACATCAACCATCTGTTGTTCCAAATCATGTGTAGATTTCACCTTCAAATTTTGTATTATAATTCTTTTAGCTAATCCCCATGACCAAAAACACCAGTTTTTAATATCTTGATAGATTCCAAATACTAGAGATATAGCCAAGAAGCAATTGATCTAGGGTCATATTAATAACCCTTTCAGCCCCAAAATATAACAATAATAAGGCAAGACCACACCATCTGAATCTGATGTTTCAATTCTTGAGTTGCATGTTGATCAGCAAGGAGCTAATAAACTAACTTATTAAGTAAGGTGCCTAATATACATGAATTAAAATGTTCTGTTGTATTCACTTCATTTTAAGATCAGAGGAAGCTAATCCTATGTAGCTTAAAATGACCCTCCACTGGTTTACCATGATAGTACATTCAGGATTTTTTACTTGTTACTGCATGAAATCCCCTCTTTTGCCCCAGAATAATGGAGAAACTCCT